CCCCCCCCCCCCTTTTACTCCTTTACACAGTTAAAAGAGTACACTTCTCTTTTGGAAGCACAGTTGAAAAATCACTTGGCAACTGCTAACTCTGAACACCAGAATTATGCAAAAGAAGTTGAAGTTGTAAGTGTTCGTCTCTTTTTCAAAACAAAACAAAACAAAACCGGGAATAAGGAAAATGGAGGGTTGGATGCACTGAGTACAAAATCTGATGGTTTAAGTAAGGCACCCCTCTCTGCCCTGAGGGAATCCTTCTGAAGTAATGGTTATAATTACTCCATTTGTTCTAGTCCTGATGCATGCTGTAAAGCAGGGGTTGGACAGGCTTCAGAGCCAAAAGTGCTCCATTGTAGCTGCTATTTTGGTGGATGGGAAATTATGTATCGTTACTTTAAACCACTGTTTTAAGGTAATTTAAGACTGTTGGGGGGAAATCAGTATTTGGGGGAATTTGGCCAATACTAGGGGTTTTGGATAGGATCTGGGAGTTTGGGGATGGGACCACCTCCACCACCCCCCAGGTCCACACACAGTCTACAGGTGGCACAATTCCCACTCCTACTGAAAAGCCAAGGGGTCAACTTTTTCATTTAAAGGGCTGTATTGCTTCAGATGAATAGTGTTGGGACTTTATTTCACCAATGAGCAGGGCCAGGCACAAATGTAGATGGTGCCAGATCCAAAATAGGACAGCATACTTTCATTAGATCATCTCACTTCCACACAGCTACCACAGTTCAAGAATTACTAACAACAGCAATGTGAATGGCTATTTCATGATTATTATTTTTTTACCAGCACATATTCCTGTACCTACAATCATCATAAACATGTAAACTATAGAGTTTTCCCTGCATTCACACTGCCCCAACCCCACTACGCCTTTACTTACAACTCTGCCTCTCACCCATGAGCTGGAAGAAATAATGGGCTCCTGGGTTGCTGTGAATCTAACAAAAATCTGGAAGGAGGCTGAGCACTTATATACATACTATCAGTTCTCTCTCTCTTGCATTTCATCAGTTGCAGCTACTCTCTGAAGTTGTGATCACCTGCAGGTTGATGCCCACATAACTGTTCTGTGAATTCCCTCTGGCACATACACAGACATTTCATATTTCTCTTCTTCCCACTGCCCATGCCTCCATTTCACATTCTTAGCTGAAACTCTAATGATAAAGCACAGAAAGCTCACCCCTACCCAAGCAGTTTTCAGTTTGGCTTGAAGCAGCAACATTGGGAAGGGGATGATGACAATGGAAGCTTTCATTCACTTAAGTTCTCGGCTTGACCAGAGCATGTCAGGGACCTGATCTTTCTGAGCACACTTACTTTTGTGCTAAGATGCAAGAGGGGCTTTTGTTCATAATTTTCTAGTGATCTCAGGTTGACTAGTGTTTCTGTGTGAGAGCCAGCATGGTATAGTTGAGTGTTTCTCTAGATGAATTGTGTATGTATAACAATTTTATGTGATTGTGCCCTTTTCTTTCTCTTTTTTAGTTAAAACAAATGTTATCTGAATCCCAAGAAAATCTGGATGCAACAAAAACAGAAACACTCAAGCAAAGTCAGGAGCTCACACAGGTAAATCATAATGGATGATTTCGAAGTACACTCATCCCTCTACATTTGCGGCTTTGACTTTTGCGCCTTTGATTATTCACGGATTTTATTAATATGTTCTCTCTAGGAACATGTAGGTCCTCCAGCGCAACACTGAAGGATGTAGCTTCTTCAGTGCAATTCTATGGTCAATGTCTGCCAGATGTTGACCACAGAGGTCCACTGGAGGACCTAGATATTCCTAGAGAGGAGTTCTCTCAGGTAAAAACATAGTGTTTTTGTTATTTGCATTTTTCCACATTCACAGTGGTCCTCTGCCCCTAACCCCAGTGAATGTGGAGGGACAAGTGTAGTTTGTAGTAATAAATTAACACTTTGGAAGTAATGGATTGCCTCTTGGGGTACTTGGGGTTTCAAGGATATAATAAAGTCACATTTCAAAAGCAACACAGTAATTTTGGTTATTTCTGACTATTGGAGAACAATATTAGAAGTATTTTTGTAGGAAAGCTTAGGAAACCTTGTGAACTGATGGCATCCTGTGATCTTCATTTATTTACATGAGAAACAGCCTTTTTGGTAGATATCACATCTTGCCCAGAGAGCTAGTGAGTTATGTGCTTTACAGGTGGACCTTCCCTATTTACATTTTCATCAGGACAAGGCTGTTCTCCATCCTGACATTTTCTTCCTTCCAAAGTGGTTTCAACTTTTAATTTAAAATTTGTGCACACCCTAGCTTGGATTTTGAACGTAATTTTCATTGTTTGGACATTTGACAGGCGTTGGCTTTCTGTGTTAATAGAACATTGAGTTTGAGATGTTCTACGAGACTGTTGGTTACTCATTTTTGAAACTGAGTTGCCAAGTTTCACCGCAAAGATTTTTGAAGTGGGTGGTCTCGGCCATCTATTTGACATATGAGTTAGTGAAGAGGAAACCATCACATCAAATCGAGCCCACTCAATTCGAGCAGTAGCTGCATCCTCTGCATTTTCATCAAGAGTTTTACTTGAGGATGTGTGTAAAGGTGCTGCCTGGTCCCAGTAATGAATAATGTTACTCATTACTGGGTGGATGCTAGAGCAAGATCAGATGCAGCATTTGAGAGGGCTGTTTTGCTCTCTGCATTACAGTGAGTGTTATGTGACTCTATAATGGTGAGAAGAGTTTTTGGTTTCTTATACTGTGTTCAGTAAAGTTTGAAATTTGTCAGTTTACTTTTTGACTCATTGTATTTATTTATATAGTTATTCATTATTGTATTGTTCTACCATCCCTCCTTCTTTATAAGTAGATTGCTAGTCTCCTGAGTGTGTGAGTCACAGAGACCACAAAGAAGAACAGGTTGCATACCTGTAACTGTGGTTCTTCCACACCTGTCCATCCATCCCTCATATGTGTCTGCCTCTTGGCTCAAGAGATGCTGTTATGTGGCATCTTTTGAAACTGAGGGAATTGAGTAGGAACCCGGTGGGAAAATCAAGGGTGAACACCCCAGTGCATGAGTTCACAGATGACCACTCAAAGAACCATAGTTACAGGTATGCAACCTGTTCTTATGCTATTTCTTTAAACAGCAATTGGAAAGGAAATACCCTTCAGAGCTACCTTTCCAATTAATTAGCCCAATCTTGAGTACACACCCAAGGCTCTGTGGGCACAATTTCATCTATTTACTGGGCTTAATAGTCAACATAAGTATCCTGGAAAGTCAACAAATCTCCTAAAACAAACAAACAAACAAAAAACAGAGAAGGAAAACAGGATTGAAGCAGTGGATAATATAGTATCTTACTTTGTTCCTAAAACGACCCTAGATATCTGGTACTGAACGGAAAACAAGTAAG